AAATAAAAAAATGGGATTAAAAACGTCAATTGAAAGCAACTTAGTAGCCATAAAAAACAAAATTTTTTTTTTCATTTTTATTTCTTTTTTCAATAAGAATTTTAAATTGCTTAAAAAGCAACAACTGTGCAATTTTCAAAATGGAAGTGTCAAATTAAATTATGACTTTAGTAGCTGTAATTAATTAAAATACAATTTATTGAAAAAATTAAAAATTAAAAAAAAAAAAATATTAAACTAAATAAAAAATTGTATTCTTATTTTTTAAATTTTTAAATATTTCATTTGTTTATCAGTAAAATACACATTCTTTGTAACAAATGTTATCGATGGCTTAAAAAGAAAACAATCTGAACACTTTTGGCCCATAATTTTTTAAAAGTTTCTATTCTTTTTTTTTTATAGTAAAGTGTATAGGTTTCATTTCCTTTGAGAGAACATTTTCTTGTATGTTAAATTTTTGCAATTGACTTTATGTCATAAATTCTATAGTAACTAATATTAAATTTAAACTTAATAAAATTTGTCATTATTAAAAAACCCCAATTGTCAATTATAAAAATTTGATTATTGTTGTTTACGAAATCGAGAAATTTACATTTTTTTTTTGAAATTCTTGTAAAATCTTTGGAGAACTTTCATTGTTTGTATAATTTTTTATTGTTTTTAATAATTAAAAATTTTTAATAACTCTGACATATTTATGTGCATGTATGTCAAAAAATTTTTTTTTATCTTAATATTGCATTTTCGAATAATATAATGACAGTATTTAATTTGAAACAATTTTATTTTTTGATAAACATGTGATTTGAATAAAATTATTATTAAATATAATTTAAATATAATTTAATAAATAATATTTATTATTTTATGGTAGTTTTGTTAAATTAAAAAAATTTTTCAGTACATAAATGATTTATCGAATTTTTATTTTTCAATCGAAAAATCGAGAACATAATTGAATTTTTCATTTCTTAAATAGGTAGTTTTTCTTTGTTATCAAAGTTATATAAAAATCTTACAGAATAAAATTGAAAAAACAAAAAAGAAAACAAAATTAAGGAAGAAAAGGATAATGACAATAAACAAATGAGAAAAAAAAAATAAATGTTTTAAAACATGATTTTTTAAGTATTTACTTTTTTGTTACAATAAAAATATTTTAAATAAATATTTTCTTTATTTTTTATTTAATTTTATTTATATGTTTTTTTTTTTGCATTTTTTTCTATAATTATTTTGTTATTCTTGTGTACAATATATTATTTAAATTTGATGATCCTAAAAATTGTAAAAACAAAACATATACATTTTTTTTTTTTAATTATTTAGTCTTTTTTTTTAACTAATTTTTATTTTTATATCAAATTTATCGTCCATTAAATGTATATAATATATATGTATATATGTATATATAGCATTTTTGTAAATTGTATATTTTATAACATTATATTTAGGCAAATTTACATAGGCATCATTTTCGTTTTTAATTTCGAAATATTTTAATTTTAATTAATTTTGTAAAATATTTTCTTTTTATTCTTTTTTTTAATCAAGAAATTTTTTTTTTTTTTTAGATTTTTCTAACATTATAAGAGATGATTTTCAGAAGTATCAAAGAATTATCAAGTTCTCGTCGGCACAATTATAAATAATGCAAGTGTCATTAAATAGTGCGTTTGTAAATGCATCATTCATCAAATAGCACACGTTTGATCAATAATATCCGAAAATTCTTTAACGTCAAAATTTTGTTTTCAGTCTGCAAACTGTCTGACGTATAAAACTTTTACGGACAGAAATGTAGTAAACTTTTTACCCGTAATTGATTTTGAATTTTGATCATTCGTAAAAGTAAAAACAAAAAAAAAATTTTTAGATTTAAAATAATTTTATACTTACATATTAAAAATTAACAAAAAAAATATTTTTTATATTATTTTTAACGTAATGATAGTCACTCAATACATCAAATTTATTTACTGAATTACTATCTACGTCAGACTGTCTGCATGTAAAAAAAAAAAATCTACAATTTTGACGCTTAATTGACTTTTTTTAAACGTTTAAGAATTTAAACTTTGACTGAAAGTAAAAACGCAGTAGAGAGTATTCGTAAACTCAGACAACTCAGATTTTGTAAAATTTGACGTTTAAGAATTTACCATATATTATGGTTGGATGAGAAAAAACCGCAAAATTCTCAATCCAAAAAAATTTGCACAATAAACACAAAATTTATAATTAATTTTTAAGTAAAATTATTTCAATGAGTAAAAATATATTTATTAAAATAATATTTTTGTGTGAAAATTAAATAAATAAATTATATATTAAGTGTACTAATGTAAAAAAAAAAAGAAACAAATATTTAAAGAAATAACAAATTAATATAATGTTAATGCCAGGAAATATCGGGCAAAACAATGGGGTATTTGAAATTATCTTGCACATACCCCATAGTCTATATAGAAGAAAAATTCAATATGTAAAAATAATCAAAAGTCTTTCAATTTTTTAAATTTTCTAAACTATTCGCAGAATAATAATTAGTTTGAATGTATAAATTTAATTTAGTTTTTAAGTTTAGTTTTAGATATATTAAAGAGTAAAATTGTATGCAATTTTTCTTCAAAAATGCAATTCTTAAAATTAGAATAGAGAAACTTTAAAAGTACATCATGTATAAATCAAATTTTGAATAAAAATTTTTCGATCATTGCAGTTCCTAATCTTAAGAAATGCGTTTTTCAAAAAAAAAACAAACCATTTTATGCAATTCAAAAACATTTTTTTTTAAAGCCAATTTTCGTATTGTATTTGAAAATTAATGTATTTTTATGTTCCATAATGTAAAAAAAGGAAGGGTATCTTCGGAATTGCATCTACGACGCATTAGACACATTGTATCATCTTCTAAAATATCAACAAAAAAATTTGACAATGCGTTTTGTTCACAATTTATTTGATGTTGTGTCTGAGACGTTTTTAACACTGAATTATTTGTCAAATTGTGTATCCAAAATTTTTTCGATGTTTATATGTTTTTTAATTAAAATAAATTGAAACAAAAAATTTTCTTATTAAAGTAAGCAATGGAATGAAATAATACAAAGCATCAAAATTTTTAAGTTTTCAATAATATAAAATAAATACAATGTGTTTGAAAGAAAAAAGGATACACATTGTATCAAAAATTTAAATTGAAATTTTATTTTTTTTTTCGATTTTAACAAAATCGTACAACTTTTATTTGATGATTCCGAACAAATTCGAAAACAAACATTTTCACAATAATATTGGAAATTTTATATTTCTATGGTATATCAAAAGTTTTCCACAATAAATGTGAACAATATGAAAATTTTGATGCATAATATGAAATTTAGAAAAAATACAGTTTTTGATACACATATATAAGGAACCCATAGATTGCATTAAAAAAAATTAGATATTATGGCATCATTATGGCCCCTATTATGATCAGCGAAGCGAATGAAATTGGCGAATATGAACTTTTGGTATTATGATTAGCGAATTCGCCTAAATTTTAGGCGAATGGCTTATCAAAACTGTCGAATGAAAATTCTGTGTGACAAGCTTGCCGAATTAAATCAAAAATCAAAATAATACATGTGCTTTTTTTATTGGATATTGTAGCATTTATAGTGATATAATTGAAAAATCTAAACTCAATTTCATAATATTCTACAAATTATTGTAAAAAATATTGATTGTATAATATTAATTTAAGCGTGAAAAAAAAACGAACCAAAAACACAATTCGAGTATTTAAATAAATTAATGGAGAACAACCCAGTACTTGTTAAATGATGTCTTGCGGTAGCAACATTTTAGATCTCGTGAATGAAAGTATTCGCCGATCCTAATTTAAAATATCATTTGATTCGCCTAGTTCATTCGACTCGCCTAACCATTCACTTCGCCGATCATAATAAGAGTCAACTATTTTTGTCAGTTCATTTTTTAATAATCACACTAAATATGAATAATGATGATAGGTGCCATTGTTAAAAGATTTACATTAAATTTTTGAATAAATTTTAATTGCAATGGAACCCAAGCTATATTTTTATAGTAACATAAAATTTACTATCTTGCATAATCTTAGATTTATTGATGCCAAATGCAAACTGCACTATCGGAAATCATTGGTTGATAATTCGGATTAAATACTAAATTAAATTAAATTTATTTATTTTTTGTCTTCTAAAAATTCAACTCTTTAATTAATGTTTTGTTCTTTTATATTTAATTTGATTTGGTTTTTGTTTTTTGATTGTAAGTTTTTTGCGCTTTTTAATTATTTTTTCTTTAAGTTAATATTTTTTTTTAGTTAAATATTTTATTATCTATTTAAAAAAAAAGAAAACAAGTTATTCTATTTTTTTTGCTTTTTTTTACATCACTTTTAAACTTACTTATAATTTAAATATAATTGTAATTATTTTAATAAATTTCTAAAATTACTAATAGTAGATAGTATAGTTTCCTTTTTTCTTCTATTTTTTATACTTTAATATAATAAACAAAAAGACAAAGAAAAAAAAAGGATAATATCGTAAAAATTAATCAATAATTGTTTTCCTTTTCTTTTTTTTTAGTTTATAATTAATTTTTAATAGTTAATAATACATTTTAAATAAAAATTAAATTAATTTTCTTTTATTTAATGTTTCTTCGTCTAATGGGTATCTATCTGTTAAATTACATACATATATAATTTTATATTTATATAATAGTTTTTTTTTTAATAATAGGGTTATGTCAAATATTTTTTTTTTTATTTTATTGTTTTATATAAATTAAATTTTGTTTTTTTGCTTTGTTTCATGTTTTTTTTTCATATTGTTTTTAAATTAAATATTATTTAATAATATAACATATAATAGTTTTGATTGTTATACTTTTATACATTATACATATACATATATACTTTTTACTATGAATTTTTATTTATTTAATTTTTATTAATTTATTCAATTTAAATTACAAGTTTTTTTTTCTTTTCTCAATTTTATATTTTAATATATATATATATATATTTATATATATAAATATATTTCAATAATCAATTAAATTCAATTTAAAAAAAAAAAAAAATAAATTTAATTTTAAAAAAGTTGATTTTATCTGTTGAGCGTCGCTGCCATTGGAATTGGAATTGTATGATGTGGACCAAATGGTCTACGTTCTTGATATTGTTGTTGTTGTTGTAATGTTGCTGATGGTGGTGGAAAACCATCAACAGTATCAATACCAGTTGTATTACCATTACTTTGTTCTGCTAATTTTTGTTTTAAATTTTGTTTATATCGTATATATAAAATAAGACATAATATTAAAACAATTATAAATGCTAATGTTGCACCACTTGCTATACTAGCTGTTTCCATCATAATACGTGGTCTCGTTGCTAAAATTATAATAAAATTATATAAAAAAAAAGAAATAGAAAAAATTCAATTAGATTTAATAATATTTATATTTTATATAAATTTAAATTGTAAAATTAAAATTTAATTATGACTAATTATTAAATAATTTTTGAATTGATTAAAAATAAATAAAAATAATAATTAAATTATTATTATAAATTTTAATATAATAATATTATTTTTACTATTTTAGTAAAATTTTTACTTTATTGCATTAGTATTTTAAAATATGTATTTGATGGGTACTTAAAAAATAAGCAGTTGTTACTAAGCATGACAATGTTGTAATTTTATTATTGAAATTTACTATGAAATATTTTTAATAAAAATGTTATATTTAATATTTGAGAATGTATGCTTAATAAAATGTTAGATGATCTCCAAATTTTCAACAAGAAGAAGATTATTGGAGAAAGAAAAATATACAAAACATTTTGTTCATAGTTTTTAAGTAGGAAATGTGATTGAAGTATTTACTTAATTGCAGAATGTAAAATAAATTTTGGAATTTTTGAAATATTAATTTTGATTTTAAAAATTTAATTTATTTTTAATGTAAAATCACAAATTTATTTAAAATTATTTATATAATTTTATTATCACTTAATATAAAAATAATTTAAAAATTGTTATCAAAATTGAAATTTGATTAACATTAATTTTTACATGAAGCTGTTCGGGACTTCCAATTCTTAGTGTTTAAAATGTTATTCATGAAAATTTCCATTATTGTTGGAAAAATAAATTCTATCTTTACCCTTTTGTAATGCTATGTGTCGGATATGGTAATGCTATGCTAAAAATCATTAAAATAAGAGTAGATAGACTCTTAATTTGATTTTCTTAAATTGTGAAAGCCAATAAAGTAATTTGTGGATTTTTAAGAATTTAATTATTCTAATTGAATTTATAATCGAGGAAACTAATGAAAGCAATGTTGTTAAAAATTTAAAAAAGCAAACTTAGTGTTTCTTTTTCTTTTTGCATAGTCAAGCAGTATTTTTTTGCGCAATTTATATTTAGTTTACATAAAATATAAAATACAAGAGGGATTTTCAATAATTCAGTTCTAGCACAGGTCTCAATTAATATAAAGCGTGTTCCGCAAAAGTTCCAAAAATAGCATGTTCGAAAACATGCCATTATTATATTGCGATTAGAGCTTTAAAGGAATTTTTAAGTTTTTTTATAACTACTAAAAAATTATTATGAATTAGAAAAATAGCATAATAGAAAAATGTTGCATATCGAAGACTCGAGTATGTCACAAATTTGCAAAAGTAACTGTTCAGTTCTGCAGATTTGTAACTATGTGTGAATAGATTTTTAAGATTAAAACTTTCATTGCATATCTGAATTATCGAAAATCCCCAAATTTAAAATTATAAAAGACAATTTGTGTAATGACGAACTAGAATATAGAATTAGAAAGAGCTAACAAAATATTATTTTTTGCTACAGTTAGACAAATTTAGTTTATTTTTTTTTTTTATAAAAATAAATTTCCCTCTCACTTTCTTTTTTATATAAATTTGGTTTTAATGAAAATGTTAATTGCGATTGTTATTTTTAACTTAAGATCTAGATTATAATTTATTATCAATTTGAAAATTAGTAAAAGAAGGCGTATTAATAAAAAAAATAAGCTAATTGCCATGATTTCCAAGGGGGGAAAAAAATATTGTTTTATTTTTTTTTTCTTTAAATTCAACAGACCTGTATTTTTTATTTTCTTAAATTTTATAATATTTTGGTTTTATTTATATAGGCTTTTTTTATTACATATGGCATTTTGCATAATAATAATTTTTTTTTGGGGGGGATTAAATATACACTCCAGGCAATAATCTACACTACATATTTTTTACTATTTAGATTCTAAATCTTCGACTTTTGTACGACCAATATAACTGAGAATTGAGATCTGGAAAAAATCGCAAAATATGAAAAAGAAAAACAGAAAAAAAAAATCAAAAATTTTCTTTTGTGAGAGGAAATTTTTTAACAACAATAATATTATTAGTGTTGGGACAATATGAAAAGTTTTGGGGGGAGGGTATTGAAAATGATTTTTGGTTTTATGAATTTTTTATGAATTTTAATTAAGATTTGAAAATAAATGTTAAAAATAATTACATTTTGTTTTTTTGTATTCAATTTCAATTTTTTACATGCTTTAAGTGAAATTTCGAATTAAAATAAAAATTTAATTAAATAATTTAAAACTTACGTAAAAATGATCCATCGATTTCTTTGTATTCACATCGGGGACCCATATAACCATCCGCACACCTAAAATGAAAGAGAAATTTATTGTAAAATTATTTAGAATAATTCTTAAAACAATTTGAAATTTTAATTAAAGGTTCTGCTTGATTGCAGTTTGTATGTTTAACAAGATCTGCCTAAATTGTAAAACAGTACTTTCAAAAATGTAGGATTGCAATTCAGCTGCAAGCAAGCATTTTTTATTCTCTAACCACAATAACTTAATTACCAAACAAGATCGACAATGACATCTATTTTTAAGACAAATAGAATAATGACAACTTCAATTACAACATAATTATAATTTGAAAGGACTAGAAGAGCCAATTTTTTCGTATTATAAATGCAGGACTTTTCATAAATGCAGTATATCGTGATTAGTTAGTAAAAATTGCGCTACGTTCATAAACAAAATTTTCTAACTTAGTTTGTTCATACAAATGGCTCATTTTTCGCCCTATACCGAAATTAAAATGAGTAGCATAGTTAAATCATTTTGAATTAAATAGAGTTTTTTTGATATTATAGAATAATTAAAAATATATTGCATATTCATAACGTTATGTTTTTGCAGTAATGCGTTTTGTAGTTATTGTTTTGCAGTATTGGGTATTGTAGTTATTATTTTGAAATCTTGCGTTTCTGAAAATCTCTTATTTGTTAGTTGGATATTTTTCCTGTTTCTTTTTAAATTCTGTCGCTAGTTAGATGTTAGTTTAAGCGCGAAAACTAAAAAAACATGATCACGTAAAATACACATTTTTTTTTGAAAACATTTCGTTTTCTTTAGTCACCTGACATTGAATTTTTTAAAATTAAAATTTTTTTCTTTCTCTTGAAGCTGAACAGTTCCCCTTTTAAATAAATTAAATTTGCAATTTTTTTAATAATTTATCAATAATTCAATCGAACAAATGACAAAAAAAAATATAAAAAGAAGACAAAACGTGTAAAAAAAAAATGACAATTGTTTCTGTTTCAATTGCATGTATATTTGTACATACATATAGAATATTTATTAATACATACCAACAGTTATATAGAATTTCATCACCAATTTTAACTGAAAAACATGTTGCATCATTCAAACAATACCATTCAGCATATGTTGCCGGACATTTGTATGTATGGAATGTTATATTTGGTCGGGGTGTTGGAGTTGGCGGTGGTCTTGGTTTTGGTGTCGTTCTTGCCGAACATGCCTCTGTAAATAAAAAAAAAATGGAAAATTTATTAAAAAAAAAATTTACATTTCTATTTATAAATAGCATTTTTAATACGGAGTCACCCCCATTTAGTGTTTTTGCGCGAAAATTAATGTGTACTAGTTTGAATTTAAAATACCTTTAACTTTTGAGCTGTCTTCAAGTGCTATTGATATTTTATATCTATAGAGATTTATGGGATTTTATAGTTGTCCTGTTATTATTTAAATTCTTCGTATTAAAACAATCAATCTATAAATTTTTTGGAAAGATTAGGACTCGGAAAACTCATCTGAGAGCCGATTTTACATTTCTTACCATATCTACGGAATGAATGGATAGAATTTCGTGAATTTTGATATTTAAGTTCTGGTTGTTACCGAAACTAACTGGCGAGCATTTCAAGGAATAAGGGTAGCACAAAGCGAAACTCTACTAAGAGCCAATATTACATTTTTCTAGGTATGTTAACTATAAGCTTACTAATGCCCTAAAAATTGGAAAGAAGTATTTAACAGACATTTTTATAATATTCTGTAACAATTTCACTTAACTAGACAATACACATTACGATCGGTTATGTGCTGGCCACATCATATTTTTTTTTGTTGCTATGCTATGGAATGTGTTGCCATTTGTTTCTTATAATATTTTAATATCCTATAGTTGACATTACACTAAATAATAATAATATTAATAATGACATTATGTACTTATATGGGAAAATTTTATTTTTCAAATTTCCTAACAGATTTTAGAGCATTTTTTTAATAACATGTATAGGGTGTAATAAATTTGTATTGTCATATATTTAATTGTATATAGATATATACTGATTTTGATTATTGATTGTGATTAAATGAAATTTAATTATAGAACGGGGGTTTTGTAAATTTTAAAACAATGCAAAATTATTTTGTGTCCAAATTTTTTAATTTTATTTTCGTTTTATTTCTTTTATAAATTTTTCCTTTTTATTTAATTTAAAATAAAATTTTTAATTTTTAGGTCAATTGCTTATTATTCTTCATATTTTCACAAGCATGTGTATCATAATGTATATCGATATTTGAATGTACTTGAAAAACATTATAGATGATGCTGGCTGGCTTCCATAATATATAATCATTATGATAATGGATGACCCACACAAATTATATGTATGTATGTATTATATTGTTGATTATTATTAATTTCAAAACTTTTTGAAATAATTTTAAATTTAAAAAAGAAATAGAATTCAATTAATTAAAAAAAGATTCATTTTGATTTTAATTGTAAAATTTGGAATGGCAACATCCGTAAATGAGTACCAAAAATTTTAAATTTTTATTATTTCAAACCATTATGAAATATTTAAATAATAATAGAATTAAATATGAATTAATCAAAAAAAAAATTATTTAATAGAAATCCCTGCAATTCAATAGGACTTTTATTACGTTTTGAAAATAATTGTTCGTAAAAATTTCCAATTGTAATGAATGAGAAATTTAAATTTATTGAAATATCTAGTATAATATGTGTTTGAAATTCGTCTTTAAACATACATTTGCATATATGTACATATGCATGTGCTAAATATTGCTTAGTGGAAAAGCAGCTTCGAACGTATTACCTCTGCTATGAGTTTTATTAGTACAGTTTACTATAAGAACTCAAATTATATATGTTCCTTAAATCGCGATAAATAAGCCAATTACATTATTTACAGAAATTATTCTCGAAACTTACACACAAACAATTAAATGCAAAGAAGCATTTTAAAAATTTTTGCGGAAAGAAAGTGAAACTCAAATTAAAATTTTTCTGTTACGTTAACTTGGCGTTCACGCCGACTTCAAAATTTGAAGTTGAAATTTTGGAATAATAATGAAACTCCAAAAAGCTGTAATATCAGAAAATGCCATATTATTTATGCTGTCTTACATTTTAATTTTGTGAAATATTGGAGTAAAAATGTTCAAGAAACAGAAAAATTTAAAGTATAAAATGACGAATGCATTCAAATAAAATTCATTGTCAGTGTCTATAACAAATATTTTATTTTTATTATTTATAATTTCAATCTATCATTTTAACACTTGCCTTGTCCCACATACATATATACTAATAATAAAGTTAGAGAATGAAAGAATTTTCTTTCACTTGCTTAATACCACAAATTACTGAACATGTAGCTTGGATAATGGCTTTGACGTTAAAATATTTTTCATAAGCATAACTTAATTTTACTTTTTCTTTTTTTTTTTTTCCAATTCAGTAATTTTTTTAATGAAATTCAAGTGCACATTTTTATTTTAAAAGAATATTAGAAAAGAACATTCATTTGTATTCCATATATGTATGTATGTGTGTGTATTTTGTATTTTCAAATTAGAATAAGGGAAGTCGAAATATAATAGAAAATTTAATAATTTTTGAATGGTCACGTTGATTTTCTTGGATTTTATTTATTTTTGTTCTAACCAAATCATCTTAATTATATTTGTACCTTAATAAATATTTTTTAAATACATTTCATATAGCGTATGCTATGGTTTCAAATTATTTATCAATATATATTTTGGTTATACTGATTGCTTTGCCCTAGGTTTCAATTTATGAAATTTACCCTATAACGAACAATTTAAAAAATTTTTAATATCTAAATTGTGGTGATTTTGTTGCTTTGAACAGTTGTTTTCTGTTTTGTAACACTCTGCGATTTATAGCAAAACATTCGGGATTATCAGCGGTTCAGTTTCGAATTAAAAATCAGAAGATCAAATTTGAATTAACGTCACCTTAAACATTATACTCGTAGCATAAATTTCAGTTTGAAAAATTATTATTTCGCTTAACATACTATTTGCAATAAATTTAAATCCAAAATTCCAATTTTGTTTTATCCGCCATTTGCAAATTCATGACGTAATAATGGTAATAACGAAATTTAGACTGAATTAATAATGAAAATGTTGGCCTGAATAATAAAAATATTGGCCGCCTTATTATATTTTGCGCTTGCAAGTTTTGCGCTTACAAGTTAGAAAATCAAGACATATGTATAATGATCTACGTAAAATTTCATAAAATATTTGAATGAATGTGTTAGCAAGCGATTTGACTAAAATGTTCTAAAATCTGTAAATATTAATATTAAAATGTTATTATTTTCCTTAATTATTTTTAATATACGTATATTATATGACAGCTATAAATGATCTTTTAAATAAGTTACAAATCAATAGTATAGGGGGAGCAATAGATAATAATAAAAATATTTTAATGGACACATACATATTTATACATGCATTTAACGTATATCCATACAAACATAGTTAATATAAATATATAAAAATAATTGAATAAACTGTGAATATAAAAAATTTGAAGAAGAACGATAAAATTGAGAAAGAAAAAAAAAATTGAGAAAATAATGTAGATACTATGGAAATTTTTTAAATTGGAAACTTTAAAAATAAACAAAAAAACCATCGGCATTAACGATTTTCGGGTAAGTGGGCACGCGCAAATTAAATCGTTCGGGCTTGATGATCAGTTAATGTTAAAAAATTCATTGTTTTGGAACGGAAACATCACGGTTAAATATTTTCTTTTTCTTATGATATTTGTATGTTTTTTTTCTTTCTTGAATTTTGTTTTGACTGATTTCGTAATGTAGTAAAATATGGTCGGCGATAGCAGCCGCCGGCAGCAACAGTTAACAAAAATATAAAAGAAAAAACAGGAAAATCAAAGAAAACAACCAACACTGGTCGAGTTTTCTTCGTTATGAATTGAAAAAAGAAAAGAGAGAGAAAAGTTCAAAAAAAATGATGAAAATTTTTTCAATTTTTTCTGGTTTTTTTTTTTTATTTTTGAAAACTATGCAAGTGAGTATTTCCTTATAATGTAGAGGTAGACTAAATATGATCAGACCTAGACCAAGAAGCAAGGTAAGAGATGTTAAAGCAACAAAATAAAAAAAAAAATAATGAAAAATAACAAAAATGTGTACATAGATAGATAGATAGTATTTATGTTTGTGAATAAGCACATATATAATTAAAAAAGATTGCCAACTGTTATAAAATTTATTCGGCGAAACATCAAATTCAAATATTTTTCTTGCATTATGCCATACTTTCTTTTGTTTATTGAATTTGTTAAAAGTATGTTTCTGACTTTAAAAGCTTAAATTGAGTTTTTTTTAGCAATTAATCTTGCAATCATGGGGAAATTATGCCCAAGTTTGAATTCTTTCCTGTCTAAATTAAGTATTGCTTAGAAAAAGGATTCTAGAAGAATATGATTGCGAATAAAATATTTTTACAAAAAAATATTTGATACTCGTACATTTTGGATTAAAGCCGAATGTGGCACGAAATTCTAGAAATTTAACACTCTTGTATGCACATACTCGTACATGAACATTAGTTAACAGCCGATAAATCGTTTTCCTCCTTTAAAAATAAATTTACCCTTTAAAATAAATTTAGATTAATTAAAAACGAATCCTTTAAGAATAAATTTTGTTCCCAATTGAACGTTTTTTTTAAAGGGTGATATGTAAGCAAATAAATAGTTAAATTGAAGGATCAAATATGAAAAACAGTTAAAATTTTTAATTTTTAACTAAATTTTTAATTATATTTTAAAGTATTTCACTGTACTTACACTATAAAGAAATACTTATACTAAAGATATGAACATGGTACAGGAGCTTGCACTATATTCTATATATTTTTACTTATTAAAATTGTACTTTAATAAAATTGTATTGAAAAAATCTTGTACACTATGTACATATATCAATCTTGTTCTACATTACTCTTGTTCTGTATTAAAATTCTAATTTTCTTCAATCACCATCTTCTTATCACTTATGTAAAAATTGAATAGTTAAAGGTATAAGGCTTAATTAATTATGAATTTTAAATTATACAGAGTGTTGTCACACAAGCACAATACGAAAGCATATTTTTGAATAGTCAACCCTATATTAAAATTATAGGCAACCC